CCCCCCCGGCAATTTCTGAAATAATCACTGCTTCCATCTTCTCACCAATGTCGGTATCGGTACTAATATGTTTGCGTCGACTCTTCTTCCAAACTCCATCACGCATTTTGTGTAACTTTAACTTAAGTAGCTTCCTGCACATTAGTTTGAAAATGTTATCTCAATGCCGTACTAATATTAAAATTAAATGTAATTGCCTTTGAGTAGGTTTCAGCCTGAGAATGTCCACACAAAAACAACAACAAACAAACAAAAAAAGGAAGATAATAACTGTCATATATTGTGCTAAGTTGCTGATCTCCCAGGTGACTGATTATTGGGCGCCCGCACTAGGGTTCAAGGTGGGTCACATGTCCACCCCCGACCTGGAAATAATAAATTCATATTGAACTATTAATTTTTCCACTTTTCCCCTCTAAATATAAAATAATGTATACAAAATTAAATATGATCGTTTTACATGACACAAATGACCGCGGTTGAGAAGGAAACGATGAGCATAGGTACTGGACAAATGTACAATAGATGAGGGAGTAGTTTGAGCATAGGTACTGGACAAATGTACAATAGATGAGGGAGTAGTTAGCCTGACATCGGCAGAGTTTATTGTAGTACCGGTACAGGGAAGACATGATAGCTTGGGAGGCAGGGAGACACCTGGTGGACAGTGTGGGAACGGGTATCACGAACGAGTTCGAGTAATGAGTTTTTGTAGTTAGCTGGTACAAGTGGAATGTTCACGAAGACCATGAGTAGCTTTAGATAAGTGTCAGTGATAAAAAAACAACAACTCAACGTGATCGCTGCTAATCAGCTGGTAAAGACATGAAATAGGCGTCGGGGGTGAGGTGGGGGGGGGGGGGGGAGTAAAGGATCTGGCCGGGAGAATTGTTGTCTTTATTCAGCCCCGGCGTTCAGGGGTGGAGCCCTGTGCTCGCGTACAGGGCGCCGTGGCCATAGGGGCGCCTAGGGGGAAAGGCAGGGAAAGGGGGGGGGGGGGGGGGGGGGGGGGGGGGGAGAGTAAAGGATCTGGCCAGGAGAATTGTTGTCTTTATTCAGACCCGGCGTTCAGGGTGTGAGACCTGTGCTCTCGTACAGGGCGCCGTGGCCATAGGGGCGCCTAGTAAATATGTAAATGCCCTTAGCTTATTGTAGTGAAGAGTGAACCTCGAGTCCGGGGGTCGAGAAACGGTATTCTAACTTTGCGTACAATGAGTTTTCATCCAATGAGTTTTCATACAATGAGTTTTCATACATTGAGTTTTCATCCAATGAGTTTTCATCCAATGAGTTTTCATCCAATGAGTTTTCATACAATGAGTTTTCATACAATGAGTTTTCATACATTGAGTTTTCATCGAATGAGTTTTCATACAATGAGTTTTCATACAATGAGTTTTCATCCAATGAGTTTTCATACAATGAGTTTTCATACATTGAGTTTTCATCCAATGAGTTTTCATCCAATGAGTTTTCATCCAATGAGTTTTCATACATTGAGTTTTCATACAATGAGTTTTCATCCAATGAGTTTTCATACAATGAGTTTTCATACAATGAGTTTTCATACATTGAGTTTTCATACAATGAGTTTTCATACAATGAGTTTTCATACATTGAGTTTTCATCCAATGAGTTTTCATACAATGAGTTTTCATACAATGAGTTTTCATACATTGAGTTTTCATACAATGAGTTTTCATCGAATGAGTTTTCATACAATGAGTTTTCATCCAATGAGTTTTCATCCAATGAGTTTTCATCCAATGAGTTTCCATACAATGAGTTTTCTTACAATGAGTTTTCATACAATGAGTTTTCATACATTGAGTTTTCATACAATGAGTTTTCATACAATGAGTTTTCATCCAATGAGTTTTCATCCAATGAGTTTTCATACAATGAGTTTTCATACAATGAGTTTTCATACAATGAGTTTTCATCCAATGAGTTTTCATCCAATGAGTTTTCATCCAATGAGTTTTCATACATTGAGTTTTCATACAATGAGTTTTCATACAATGAGTTTTCATACATTGAGTTTTCATACAATGAGTTTTCATACAATGAGTTTTCATACAATGAGTTTTCATCCAATGAGTTTTCATCCAATGAGTTTTCATACATTGAGTTTTCATACAATGAGTTTTCATCCAATGAGTTTTCATACAATGAGTTTTCATACAATGAGTTTTCATACATTGAGAGGGGGGGGGGGGGGGGAAGCTGGTTTGGAAATGGAACAAAGAACCGTAGAAAAACTAAACAGTCTAAATTAATTTGCAAGTTAAATGCGTATGGTTAGCTACATGTATAGCATCACAACACGTGCTCCACAGCCTGCGGAGAAAGAGCGGAGCCATACAAAGACAGGGAAGAGGGCGCCGAACGGGTGCTTCGCACAGGGAAAAAGTTTAACCAAGGCTTAACTTTGGCGCCCCTTATAAGTATAATCATTAAAGGGAAAAAAAATAGTTATTCCGTAATGAGTTTATTACCTATGTTTGTTTTTTTTTTAAACAAACCATGAACTGTTCACTGTTTGAATAAACAGCATTATTAAAAACAACTCAATACCGAATAACTAGGTTTTTTTTCATTTAAGGATTATACTTATAATGGGCGCCAAAGTTAACTTTGCACAGGGCGCCAGCAACCGTCGGACCGGCCCTGCTTTATTGAGGTAGCTACTCAAGGACCGTGGGACGCGTGTCTAGTAGAGTTTATAGTCACACAACTGGAGATATAAAGGAACAGCTTTTCGAGGCAAGGGTAGTAGATTTAAAGATTCGTGGACTGTGATTCTGAAGTGATGGACGCATGGGGTACTGGTCGTAGTCATAAGGTAAACCCATGGATAGGCGGATTGGTGAGTCCCAGAAAAATGAATATGGATAACAAGGACGGACCTGCACGTGAGCAGCCGCACACGTTATGTGCCAGGTGGGCTGAGAAGCCGGCTAAACTATATAACAAAAGAAGTCATTAGATGATTATGAGTGTAAGTGTAAGACATATTGTAACCTAACAACTGTGTCCTCATCAACGACCCTGATAAGTGAGGACCAAAAATTTGACGATTAAATTAAAGGTAGTGACCTGCCCATTTCACACTCGCAGGAAGCTAATGCCAGCGGTTCTCAGAGCTGCGAGTCAGTACTATCGGCATCACTCAAATTTGACACTGAAATAGCAACACATAATAATTTTGGCTGTGATATGGCTATCTATGATTTTGATTTGGGTCGATACATTCAGACAACATGTCAACCGTCAGATGTTTTAAAATATCGTTTTACTCACAAAAAGACATGGTTTACCCATCAGATTCCGGCGCACATTTTGCATGTTCCAATTTCGCTGAGTGATACATGGGTGAAGAGACAACGCTAACATAACGACTTGAGTTATCTTTTTATGATACAGACTGACACACACACAATCCAACTCACAATATACCCCAACCTCTCCTTCTTCGTATCTATACCCCACCCCACACATACCCTTTCATGTGCTTCTTACACACATTCTCTGCAAACCTCTTCACGCTACCTCTGTTCAAATCTACCCCCCCCCCTAATATTCATATGCTGAGTACCTAATTGGCATCGGTCATCTGCTCATTCTTCCAATCCCACCTCCTACCTCTCCCGTAGATCCCGAGTCTGTGTACTTAGCAACCCTATAATTCCATTACCCCTTTACTGTTCTCACACCCCTTGCTTTCCCAGCTACCATCTCCACCTCTGAAAACGCCCCGACTGTGACTCGCTTGCCACTTAATTTATGCGCGTAGCATCCCGAAAAGTTCTTTCAAATCCCTTCCTACAAAGAGAGACGGGTCACGCCTACTACACTTGGCAACACGAACTAAAGCATAGCCTTCGACAGTGCAAGGCTCCTGTATAGACATATGCATAAAGTGACATTGATAACAAGGGATGGAGCCATCCGATACCAAACAACCAAACAAAAATAGTTTTTAAAGAAAGCATTAGGCTTATTGATTGGAGACACGAATCAAACATTATTTAACAAGTTTTTGAGTGGCAGATGCAGACTCGAAACAGCTGCTTGTAAAAATGAAGTATTCCATTAGTAAGAGTTATGCATCATCCACAAATAACAAAATGGAAGATTAAAAAAAAAAAAAAAAAAAAAAAAAAAAAAAAAAAAAAAAAAAAAAAAAAAATTTACACTATCGATAGTTAACCATCCAAAGTTAACCATAGACCCTATAAATTATAAATGTTCAGAAATGTTTGCACTACATTTTTCAATATAAACATTGCGTTATCGTCATAAATATGTGCCCACAC